TTATGGATTCAGAATTTGGAAAAATTTTGCTAAAAGATTTTCAGATGCGGTTTTACTGTTGGAAAGTAATATAAACTTACATGAACGAAATAATATAATAAAATTGCAATCTTTGATACATAATCAATTGTCATCCCCACGATATCAAAACTTATTTAAATATTCGTGGTTTAAAAGTGGTTATACGAATGAAAGACCAGACGAATTCGAAAATCCAGTACACTTTAGTTTAGACGAAACTTTAACAAAATGTGATATCGAAGGTTGCAATAATATAGCTGTAGTAAGATGTTCTTGGTGCAAGAAGTCATTATGTTTGAAACATTTTTTTGTCGAATATCATTATTGTAATGTGTATAATGAGTGAATAATATAAAATGCAAATACATTTTTAAAAAAATCTAAATATACACAATACACAGTTATAAATACATAGAAAACATAAATAAGAATTATACAAAAACATTTTTTATATATTTTATTGTTCGACGGTAATTACTTACGCACATAGCACGGATGAGCGTATATACGGGAGCGTTTATAATTAATTTTCGAAAATGATATTTCGTAACATAACTTTATTACACATGGTTGAATTTGGAAAAAAATAAGCTTTAAATTAGGTAAAACAAAATTTTTAATTTTGAAAAAAAAAATTAGGTGGTGAGGGTTTTTTAAAAAAAAAAAAAAAAAAAAAATTTTTGTTCATATAACTTTAAAGTACTCTTCAAGCCATTAAAATTTGTTGTACGTTTTTTCTTTATATCTCTTATAGTTTAGCAGATATTTGATCCTAAAGAAAAATACCGTTATTCTTTAAAGGGGTGTTTCACCCCTTAAAACTCAAATTGCGCACGTATAAAAAAATACGTGTCTTTTAGATTTGTGTATTTAACAACATATTTCAAGGAGAATCAAATCGGTTCCGGACAGTTGTGACATGTCCCTTGTGAGTGTTCTAAATAAAACGTTACAATTTTTTATTTCTAAAAGTATAATTTTCAGAAAATAATGCTGCAAATAAAAGTTCCAGTATTTCAACAGAGATATACATACTTTGATGTTACAGAAATGTTTGCAGAAGGCAATTTTCAATATCATTAGTTAACTTGATTATTTGATATTGATTAGTCTAATAATAAGTATTTATATAAATTGATTCCTTGTAACATATTCTGCATACAGGGTAAAAGTCAATAATTGAACGGTTTATGAGATATTTTACATAATCTAACATTATATATATATATATATATATTTATATATAGGAAGAATAGAGATGTAATAAATATGTACCGGGTGTTTCAATAAGCGTTACAAATTTTTATCGCTAAAAATGTTTGTAGAAAAAAATGTTTCAAATAAAAATTTTAGTATCTCAAAGGAGGCATAGTTGATGTCATAGAAATTTTTGTAAAAAGCAATTTTCAAGCTTATTTATTTAGTCAATTTAATTATTTTATATAGAATTATTCTAAGCGTTTATGTAAATAGATTTTTTGTAATATTCTGCATAAAAATATAAGGAAATGTAGCCAAGAATTGAACAGTTTCCGAGATATTTCACATAATTTGACATATTTTTGATATAAAATACAAAATATCTCGTAAAATATTTAGTTTTCAATAGTCTTGCTTTTATGTATAGAATAATTAGACGAAACAATTGGTATAAACAACAAACATGTTGTTTTTACGAAAAAATATATATAGCTGCATGTAGCAAATTGTATATTTTTTTTACTGTGTATCTTTTTTTATTTGTCTATAATTATTCTATACATAAAAGTATTATCAAACACTAAATATTTTATTTACGAAATATTTTTTATTTTTTATATCAAAATATGTTAGATTATGTAAAATATTTCGTATACCGTTCAATTATTGACTTTTACTCTGTATGCAGAATATGTTACAAGGAATAAATTTACATAAATACTTAGACTAATCAATATAAAATAATCAAGTTGACTAATGATATTAAAAATTGCCTTCTACAAACATTTCTGTAACATCAAAATATGTATATCTCCGTTAAAATACTGGAAATTTTATTTGTAGCATTATTTTCTAAAAATTATACTTTTAGAAATAAAAAATTGTAACGTTTTATTTAGAACACTCAATAAATATATTTATACACACATGTGAATGGTCAGTAAATATATTTATACACACATATGTGAATAATAAGTAATTATATTGATAATTATATTCTCAATAATGAAAAAATATTATATAATATTTTTTAAATATCGAGGATAAAATGGGCCCCTCCATCGCCCATTCCCGTGAGAACGCAGCCACAAAATGTTTTTTTTTCGTCTCTCCGATTATAGCAAACGAGACATTTGCATTGAACTTTTTGCAACAATATGTATTGAAATATAACAAATTATTGATTTGATAAATTTTTATTATTTAGGAAAAGGCGACACTTTTTGAATACTAACTTTAGAATCCATCGTATCTGAGAATAATTCCACCGATTTTTGAAAATCGATGGATTCATTGCTAGTATTCTTATATGTGCTACTCCTAGAACCATTTTCCTTTTGGCGTTCGGTTTTAGTTTTCATGAGTTTCCAATTTTTAAATTGGCAGTCTATTTCTTGCATATGATTATTGAATGATCTCTGAAGTTCATTCCACATATGAGAAGAGTCGACAATGCGACGCCCTTGAGCGCATGCTTTCCTGGATACGATTTATATCTAGAGGGCTATTCTTTAGATAACAAAATGATTGTTATCTTCGCAAAGTTCGACATTTTTACTACACGTACCTGTATTTGAATTTGACTCCAGGCATTGCATCGTAGGTACTAACGATTGGATACTAACTTTAATAACCAGAACGCACATGCAAATCGTTCTGGGAGTAGATATTTTTAGAAGCAACTAGCAGACAAATATATCGTCTCTGGTATAAAATATTTTTGTTTAAATAACCAGAACGCACATGCAAATCGTTCTGGGAGAAGATATTTTAGAAACAATTAGCAGGCAAATATATCATCTCTGATATAAAATATCTTTTTTTAATAACCAAAACGCACATGCGAATCGTTCTGGGAGAAGATATTTTTAAAAGTAACTAGCAGACGAATATATCGTCTCTGATATAAAATATAATCTCTAAAAACTAACCTTTAAAAAAAGGTAAAAAAAGGCGACCAGTTAAGGGCACGCCATTAACAAAAATTATCCATTGCAAATCCATGTAGAATCCTACCTATAAAAATTAATCATTGCAAACCCATGTAGAATCCTAGGCAAAATTAACCGTTGCAAACCCATGTAGAATCGTACCCATTGCAAACCTATGTGGAATCCTATGAAAAATTAACCATTGCAAACCCATGTAGAATCCTATGAAAAATTAACCATTGCAAACCCATGTAGAATTGTATTAAAAATTATCCATTGCAAACTTATGTAGAATCCTACATTGCAAACCCATGTACAATAGAATTGTATGAAAAATTATCGATTATAAACCCATGTACAATCGTAACAAAAGTAATGAAATAAAAAAAAAATTGCGACAAGTGAAAGTAGAAACTTGTACCAGTGGAAAATTAAAGTTGCAGACATATATAGAGTCGTATAATGAATCAGTAAAAATTTAAATTTGCAAATGTAGAATCGTACCATAAAAAAACTTATCTTTTAAAAAAAAAGATAAACAAGATGCCAAGTCCATGCGCCATGTAAAAAGAAATAAAAAAATTTTAGTTAAAAAAACTGGGCGCGCTGCTAAATAATATTCTAACAATATTAAATTAAATTAATTACTTTTAAACTCATTACAGTTAAAATATGTTTGTGTTTAAAATAACAATGTTACTTTAAGGTGCATTATAATTTTATTTAGCAGCGCGCCCAGTTTTTTAACTAAATTTTTTTATTTCTTTTTCACATGGCGCATGGACTTGGCATCTTGTTTATCTTTTTTTTTAAAAGATAAGTTTTTTTATGGTACGATTCTACATTTGCAAATTTAAATTTTTACTGATTCATTATACGACTCTATATATGTCTGCAACTTTAATTTTCCACTGGTACAAGTTTCTACTTTCACTTGGCGCAATTTTTTTTTATTTCATTACTTTTGTTACGATTGTACATGGGTTTATAATCGATAATTTTTCATACAATTCTATTGTACATGGGTTTGCAATGTAGGATTCTACATAAGTTTGCAATGGATAATTTTTAATACAATTCTACATGGGTTTGCAATGGTTAATTTTTCATAGGATTCTACATGGGTTTGCAATGGTTAATTTTTCATAGGATTCCACATAGGTTTGCAATGGGTACGATTCTACATGGGTTTGCAATGGTTAATTTTGCCTAGGATTCTACATGGGTTTGCAATGATTAATTTTTCATAGGATTCTACATGGGTTTGCAATAGGATAGGATTCTACATGGGTTTGCAATGGATAATTTTTGTTAATGGCGTGCCCTTAACTGGTCGCCTTTTTTTACCTTTTTTTAAAGGTGAGTTTTTAGAGATTATATCATTCATTTTTGTATATGATAAGCATCTTTAAATAAATAAGCAAAGAACCCGCCACCACCCCCGTCATATTTCAAAATACGACGGTCCTCTTTGCTTATTATAGATAAAAATAACTATCTTGTATTTTAAGTAAAAAATATTTTTTTGCACTTCACGAATAATGCAGAATGTAAAGCGTTGTCATGAAATTGCTAATATATTACGAAACCTTTTTTTATATAGGACTGATCGAAATACAATATTAAATGATTAAATAGTAATAGTCATAAACTTGATATTATAAAAATCTATTTAGGAAGAATTTTATAACTACTTTATTTTATATCGAATTAGTATTATTTATTACCTATTTTTTGTAAAAATATTATATAAACATCTTTAGCACCTCTAGGCCACTGCCTCTTTTTTACTTCTGCATCATCTATTTCGATCCAAATATTAGATAGTCCTTCTCTACATATGCTTACATAATGACCTTCATCGGTGCACGAACTATCATAAAGTATAGCACTCATCGTCTTGTACAATTGTCCCGCTATTAATACTTTAGTTGTTGGAACAGCACATAAATTAAATTTGTTTTCTGCTTTTATTAATTTACCATCTTGTGCTAAAAATAGTATTAAACGAATAACAATTATTTCTCTTGTTAATGTTACTTCATTTTTAAAATATTATCCTCGAAAAATATTCTCCTAAACATTGCCGTATTGCATATGTATTTAGATTTTGCATTCCATTTTCATATCGATGCATTAATATACGTAAAACGTCTGTTTTATCGCAATTAATCAACTGCTGCTTAATAATATTTAAATGTAATAAACATTGCAATACTGTATTTGCATAACATGAAATCTTGTCTGTATTCTGAAAACCACGTATGATCCAAGCAGTGCTTTGAATTCTTTTCTTTGAAACCGTATGTTGAATTTTTCGATCTGAATTTGATTTTTGAACAGAAGTAACTATTTTTGGTAACGCCCATGGAACATCTTTTACTTTACGACAACGTTCTTTTGACACAGCAATCATTTCTGCTTTCGGATTGTATATCTGTTTTAAACGATTATATTCAATAATAGCTTTTTCGTTAGCTATTACTGCTGAAGGATCAAAGTTTATTAAATGCACTCCTTCTAGAGATGTTACTCGCGACAAGGCAACATAAATTTGACCACAACTAAATACAGAGTTGCCAATATCCATAACAACACTTTGCAAACTTAATCCTTGGCTTTTATGAATAGTGATGCCATAACTTAAAGATAATGGAAATTGTTTTCGAATCACATACGCTCTATCCAATACCTGAAATTTAGCCGTTACTCTTTCAATTTCATATTCTAAACCTGATGGTAAAAGAAGTTTAATCTTTTCTACGTCATCAGTAGATGTTTCTCGTACAATTGAAATTACTTTAGCAATTGTACCGTTTACAAGACCCAAACTGGCATCGATGTTACGCCGAATCATAACTTTTGCTCCAATTTTAATTGTAATTTGTTTTGAAAGTCCAGCTGTTCGAGAACTATCATCATCGTTATTTGACAATACTTTTAATACTTTCTTTTTTACATATGATGTACAATCAATCGTATCTTCAGCAATTAATAATATTTCTTTGGAAGTAATGCGACTTAACATTGCATTATTAAGGACATCACACATATTACAAGTAGGAAATAAACAAACAGTGTCCGATGATAAACTGTTAATAAAATCACATAATTCATTTAATCTAGATTCGAAAGAATCAGCTTTGAAAGATATTTTTCTACTCTCTAGAATTTTACAATCAGATTTTGTCACTAAACCAATACGAATTCGCGACAATAATTCACGGTATGAATTATCTCCTTGCTGACGCATATTGATTATCAATTCATCATATTCAAATAATGTAATCCATAAATTAACAGCATTTAAAGAACCAAGATAATTAGCAATTTTTGATCGGATAAATGTGTAAAGATAAGATCTTCGCGTACAGGAGGCAATTGAAGCAAGTCTCCGAATAAAAGAATATGCTTTCGACCAAACCAACCATCATCGCAATCACTAGTATCAAATATCTCAGACAATCGAAGATGAATATATATTAAAGTCAAATTAGATATCATTGACACTTCATCAATTACGAAAAGAATAACATCTTTAAGATCTGTTCGTAAAACTTTTAATACACAATCAGATAATTGTTTATACTTATGAGTTTGACCATGTTCAACGGGTAATTGAAGCAATCTATGAACTGTCAAACCATCTATATTAAATGCTGCTATACCAGTAGGTGCTGTTACAGCAGTATCTTTGTTGAGATTTTGTTTTATCCAGCATTTAATAGTCTTGATTAAGAAACTTTTTCCAGTACCACCTTCTCCGCTAACATATAATCGTAATATTGATTTATCGGACTCTACAGCATTGGTAACTTTATCAAATACTCGTTTTTGATCCGTATTTAATTTTACTATCATGTCAGATACATCAATTTCTTGAATTGCTCTATCACCAAGATCTTTAAAATCTTGCATTGCTTCACCAGCCTCTATATTTTGAATACCTATTGCATTTTCAGGATCATCCTGAGACTGCTCTTTTTGCAAATCGTCATCTAAGCATTGCTGAACTAACTGTTTTGCAGTTTCAAATGCTTTTTGCAATTCTTCTAATCTTTCATGATATTGCAATGCTTCTTTAAGATGCAGTTTTACTTTGTGAAACGATTCGGTATAAGTATCGCATTCATTTTTAAGATCCTCTAATTTTCGCCATGGTTTAAACATAAGCAATAACGCAAAGAAATAATTTTCCGGCTGTGTATTAACATTATATCTAAAATGATTAATAAGATATCCGCGCTGTCGCCGTTTAAGATAACAACCATTACCTATTTTATAATATTCAATAAACTTATTTTTCGGTTTGATCTTTGAGATATCGTACCACTGTGCAAATTCATAAAGAGACGTATTTTCTAATTCGTTTGGTCTATGTGGATAATGATCATCTGTCAAAGATTGATAAAATATATCTGTAGATTCAGGATCAAGAGCTTCAATTTCTTTACGACTTTTTAATTTTTATATCGTATTTGATTAACATCTAACCATCTGATGGTTGTATTTCGATCAGTTCCATACAAAGGAATACCTAACAATGTATCAGCAGCTTCGAGAGCTCCACATTCTCTATTATTCGTAAATCGCAAAGCAATATTCCAAAGATGACTCGCTAATGATTTGTTTTTGTTATCCTTACTATCAAGAATATTCTCAGATAATTCACTTTTTCCCGCTTTATTCATATATTTAGTAACATACCAGGTTAGCAGCGATGATTTTTCACCAATAAATTGTATATCCATATTACCTTCCCATGCAGTAAGAAGAACAGGATTATAGTCATTTATATTACCTTCATTATCCGTTCGAGGAAGATCGTAAAGTCTACTTTTATGTTTCAATTGTTTTCTACCGGCTATCGAAGTTGCCACATCCCTGATATTCAAAGTTTCAGTAACGGGACGAGGAAATCCAAAACGACATCGACGAATAACTTTACGTCCTACTTTTTTAGAACGAAGACAATAATCATTATGTATATGTCGCTGATGCGTATCAACACGTCTGTACAACAATGGCGAAATATTTTGATCCGGTATTGTGCAGCTTATATGTTGTGAAATAAATTTTGAAACTTCCTCAATAGTAGATTCACCGAAAATTGGTGCATTTTTAATCCAAATTAATAAGTGAAAATGTTGTATACCTCTACCTTGATATTCTCGTCGCCAGAAATAGTGCGTTACTTCTCCAATTGGATGATCTTTAGACCTAATAAAGTCAAGCATTGCCCGAAACTTATTATCGAGAAACCTGGATGTTGATACTGGATCTCTAACAACGAGTGCGCTAACGCTTAAGGAAGCGTCATGCCATTCATTTACTTCACGAATATATTCACCTAAATCTTCCCACAACCACTCACTTGGACTGAGTGTTAAAAACCATGTCGCAGGTCCATAATGCTGCGTCATACAATTTAAATCGTTTCTCGGTTTACACCAATATTGCTCCGTATTTCGAAGTGTGGCAAATATTGTACTCAAATTAGATTCCAACAATTCTTTCGACATTGCGTCTAGGTATTCTGCGGCTGTATAACGAAGTCGCGGATTAGTTACATTCATTTTATGAAAAATTCCACGACTTAATTGACGCATATTTGCATCGTTCAATAAATAAAATACATATTGTAGATTTAATCTATACTGTGGATGTTTAGATGTCAAACGACATTTAATAAATTTATGATCATGAAGTTTAACTTGTCTAATCTCACGTTGTCCATTAATACCAGAAGAATATAAATCTGGAAAACACATTAAATCTAAATGTTGCTCACGATTGTTCAGAGGCAATCCTGAATTTTTAACATTTGATATAAAGCTGTCGCAGTTTTATTTGCTTTCTTTTCATATAAGGGATAGATGGTATATTGTTCGTAATAGCCATCGTTTTCAGCATTAGTCACTTGAGTCAACATTGCTTTCCGTTGACCTTCTAACATATCATTTTTTATCTCTTCTATCGGATCATTTAATAATTCAGTCTCATCATCAGCTACTTCTACATTATCTTCTGTCTCATTTAATAATTCAGTCTCATCATCAGCTATTTCTGCATTAACTTCTGTCTCATCTATTTGAAATTCTGAATTTTTTAATTTTGGTAAACGTAAATCATTGTAATCATTTGGCAATATAATATGAGAATATAAAGTATTGTTGCGCTTTAACCACGTTAAAGCGTCAAATATTTTTTAACATCAACTACCTCTTCCCAAATAATCTTTGATTTTGTCGGGATATCTCTAACTAATATATATAACTCATGATTAATATTTATTGGATCAGTATTAGAACATAATTTATTCAATGTCTCCTGTAACGGAAGTGGTAAATGAAATGTTCTACCTTTAACTTTTGATACCATTTGTCTTTGAGGCAACTTTTTATTAATAACAGTTCCCATTTTAAGGACAGTTTGAAACGCTTTAGCTCTCTGTATAAGAATTTTTTCGAATGTATTAAGAGATGATATTACTTCAGGCACCTGATTTGTAAATAGATTATTTAAGACGCAGTATGCAGGCATTAAACCTTTACGAAATTTGTCTGCACAATAATTACATATATATTGCGCATCAACTTTTTGTTGTTGTACATACGTCATTAAATCCTTCAAAATTTTAACATGTACTTGTGTCTGAAGACTATTGACTTTAGAAACACTTTTTTTATAACACAATCTCTCGCATGATACGCAAACATGTCGTGGTGTGTCCACAGAGCGTTCAGTCAATGCTTTAAATGCTAAACGATATTTAAACATAATATCATCATCACTCAAAATTGTATCAATCCGTTGATGTCTGTACATATCTACTTTCTCCTGTGCAGAAGTCACAATTTCATTCAAAGTATTCATATCAGCATTATTTAAAGCATCATCTAGATTTTCCAACTTTCGATAAAAATATGTAAGTTGATAAATTAAACGCTTCATATATCTTACTTTTGGAAAATGAGGCGATAATAATTGAACTGGAAGAAACCTTTCTTCGCAAAGTGTTATATCAATATAACAGCTACGCGTATGACCCAATTTCTCATTTGAAATTTTCATTGTACATTTATGAATATTTTGCATAAGTTTTGGTACATTTTTTAAAGTACATGTATTTACGGTTTCGAGAAACTTCTGATAACAATCAATTAAAAGCGGATCGTTAATTTTACAGCTTGCAGTATTACACATCAGTTTTGGTTCATTGTTTAAGGTACATGTATTTTGGTTTTAAGAGACTTCTGAGAACGGTCAATTAAAAGCGGATTGTTAGTTTTATAGTCTGAAATATTACACGACCAAGATTTTTTAGCTTGTTCTGTTGTTAATGGTAATATGTTTACTACTTTTCCTTTTACATTCATTATCAAAGGTTCCAATGGATTTACATCATGATGATATGTAGACTCAATAAAATTTTCAGATAAGGCTGTATGTCTAGATTCGCCACATAGCGCAGTTAATTTGTCTTCGATTGTAGAACAATCTGCGACAAGAGTCAAATACACTTCTGATTTCTTTTTAATCAAACTTAACATTTTGTATATATTGCGAATATAATTTTTCCTAATACACATGCACCAACGTACAATTTTTTCGGCTTCCAATCGTTTCTCAATATAACCTTTAATACTGATTTTTTCAATAATATTTTTTATAAATATTTCTGAACAATTACGAAGTTTTATGGTATTCTTCGACCAGAATTGTTTATACTTTTTAGTAATTTTTTTAGCAATATTGCAAGTTTTATTTCAAATGTAGATTTTGTTTTGATTTTTTGTCTTTTTGTCTGATAATATCGCTTATTATAAAGCCATTTGCGATTAGGATCCAATCTTTTTTGTCTATCTCGTTCATACTCAAAGTTTTTCGAATAACGCATACGCTTTTGTGCGCGTTTATTTTCTAAATCTTGTTCATATCGATATCGATCTTTAATGCGTTCATCTTCTAAGTTCCGTTGATATCGATTACGCTTTTTAGCGCGATTGTCTTCTAAATTTTGTTTATAACGATCACACTGTTTAGCGCGATTGTCTTCTAAATTTTGTTTATAACGATCACACTGTTTAGCGCGATTGTCTTCTAAATTTTGTTTATAACGATTACATTGTTTAGCGCGATTGTATTCTAAATTTTGTTTATAACGATCACACTGTTTAGCGCGATTGTCCTCTAAATTTTGTTTATAACGATCACACTGTTTAGCGCGATTGTATTCTAAATTTTGTTTACAACGATTACACTGTTTAGCGCGATTATCTTTTAAATTTCGTCTATATCGATTGCGCTGTTTAGCGCGATTGTCTTCTATATTTTGTTTATAACGATCACGTCGTTTAGCGCGTCTATCTTCTAAGCTCTGTTTATACAGATCGTGCTGTTCAATGCAATTATTCTTGGAATCTTGCTCATATAAATCATGTTGTTTAGCCTGATTTTGTTCTAAATCTTGTGAATAGCATGCACGTTTATTTACACAATAATTTTCCAAGTTATGCTGCTTAGTTTCTTCATAAATATCATTGTTTGTTTTCATTAAATTCTTTGAATTATTTTCTGTTAATTGAAATTGATTATTATTTAACTCTTTTTCAGGTTGGTAAATATGACGTTGCTCTTCTAACCGATTCAAATATTGTCGTTCCGTCTCACATTGACGTTTACGAGATGCTTCAATCTCTCTTGCTTTTATTACTGCTAATGGAAGCACCTTTTGAGGAGCATATTGTGGATTTTGTGGAAAATGCTCAATAACATTAGATTAAAAATCTTAATTAAATGCAAATGCATTAAACTATGATCATATTTTATTTTTTGGGTTTAATATTGAATAACAATGAAATTGCAAAGGCTATTGCAAAAACTCCGCAATCGCTACTGTTTGGTTGGTATTGTACAGTAGGAAATTGGATAGAATTTTTTTTGAAGTTATATGTTGGAAATAATCTTTTCAAGAATTGTTCATGATGTCTATGCAATTTTTTATTATTTAATGAATCATAAATAAATATATTTTTTGTATTGTAGTAACTGCACACCCAATGTCCATCTGATGGACCTGACGAACCATGTAATATTTGTATTTGTTTTTTATCAATTGGCATAGGCTGAATCGTATCAGGAAGTTGTAATCGCCATGTTTCGACAGGTCTATAATCTGAAAAATTTTGTAATAAATAATCAAAATGTTCCATATGTTTATCAGTTAACCATTCACCTCGAACAATTATATTTTTATCCTCAGGAGATAAAATTCTATATCTTTTTGTTTTTATAGACATTTTTATTATTTATATATATTTTTTTGAAATATATAATAATTTATCGGCGCAAAGCAGCCACTCTTTATCGGTGCAAAGCAGCCACTTTTTATCGATGCAAAGCAGCCACTCTTTATAGGCGCACAGCAGCTCCTTTTCATAGGCGCACAGCAGCCTTGTATGGGCGCACAGCAGCCACTTTTTATAGGCGCACAGCAGCCACTCTTTATAGGCGCACAGCAGCCACTTTTTTAGGCGCACAGCAGCCTTGTATGGGCGCACAGCAACCACTTTTTTTAGGCGCACAGCAGCCTTGTATAGGCGCACAGCAGCCGTTTTTTTACAAACACAACAGGCGCACAGCAGCCTTGTAATTTTTCTTTTTCTTTCTTGATCTTCTTTTCTTCTTTCTCGATCTTCTTTTCTTCTTTTTAATCTTCTTTTCTTCTTTCTTGATCTTCTTTTCTTCTTTCTTGATCTTTTTGCACGTCTTCTTAAATAAAAGCGTAATTTTATTTTAAATTTTAATTTAGTTACATGAAGATATTGTTGCGTCCTCGGGACGCCTCTCATTCAGTTACTCACACACAGTCACTTTCACTCGCGCGCGAAATAAAGATACTCGCGTAATAGGGAAATGAACTTTAATATAAAGATCCAATACACGAAACCAATGAAATATAACAAATAGTGCATTCGTAATGCAAAGAAGCTCCGGTCTCGGAAAACGTCCGCACGATGCGACCGCTAGACCAAATCTATCTAATGGCGTCGGAAAATATTCAAACGTCGGTTGTGTATCAACAACCCTCTTAGCGATGATGTTCAGGGGATGATAGTAAAGTGAAGTTGCACAGGGGATGTAAATCCAGGAACGTAACACTGCCCCTCTTCTTCGAGATTGTCGTCCCGACAATCAGAAACAGAGGGCTATCCTTTGCTATCGTAAAGTTTCGTGCCTCGATGTCGATCTCAGGATTCCGACACTCCGGATCCAATCGTCCATCCGTGCACATCGACTTCAGGGTACCGACGAGCCTTCCTGCTCTCCCTGGACTGCTGCCTCAGGTTACCGAGCGACTCTGCCTAACTGGACCCAATCGACCGACAGCTATCTGTCGACTCCAGGGCTCCAACGAATCATCCTGCCCTACCTCGGGCTGCTGCCTCAAGTTATCGGGCGATCCGTCGATTTGAACCCAATCGACCTACGATATTCTTTTTACTACGTCCCGATCTTC